TTGTCAAACACTGAAGATGACTCTCACAAGCACACAACCTCTCACACACACACAAAGGCACATTTCTATATTATAATGCTCGCATTGTTTTGAAGCGTAGGTTAGTGGTCATAAAATCTATATGCATAGTGAACCACAACATGTTAATTAAAAAACAATTTCATTAGAATACAAAATGTAATTAACATAATAAAACAGCCAGCAGGACTTAATTAGACAGCTGTTAGGCACCCAACACTTATGGAAAGCTCTGCTAAATAGGCCTGTCATTCTTTCAAAAGATCATCTCTGAACAAATGAGAACCATCACTATAAAACCAATGTATTCTACACTATCCTACAAAGAAAAATAATAGGCAACTGTTTTTGCAATGGATTCATTTTTTAAAGGTCCAGTGTGTAGGATTTAGTGGCATCTAGCCGTGTAATTGCAGATCACAACTCCGTCTCTTCACCCTCCCCTTCCAAGCACAACAGAGAGACTACAGGGGCCTCATCTAGTGCCAGTGTTTGGTTTGTCCCCTATGGGCTTCTGTAGAAACATGGCGGTTCAACATGGCGACCCATGACATATGTAGACATAAAAGGCTCCTTCTAAGGCAACAAAAACATTTCCATATTCAGGTCATTATACACTAATGAGAACATCGAAGCTTAAGCCGCAATGATTAGACAAACTAATAATAGTCACTCGACAGAAAAACACTCATCTATACTATTTTGATAATGAATTAATCATTCAAGTATTTTTTCAGGCGAAATGGCAGAAAATTTTGTTTTCAGCCTCAAATATGGAGATTTCCTGCTTTTCTTTGTTTCATATTAAACTGAATATCTTTGGGTGCTGGACTGAGAAAACAAGACATTTAAAGATATCACCTTAGACTTTGAGAAAAAGGAACAGACATTTCATAGACCAAATAATTAATTGATTATTTTCATTATCAATATTCATGATCTAGAATAACAATAATGAAAATAATTGTTATTTGCAGATCTAGTAGCAGCTTCAGTGCGCCACCTCCTGCGTAGACCACAGTAGCGCACTGCTTTCAGGCGCAGTATTGGGTGTAGGTCACCCGTGTTTTGGCAGTGCTCAGAGCTCAACACAGAATCACTGCAGTTACGTGCGTAAAATGTTTGCGTGCTGCACCAGCGTAAACACAAGCTGTTATGCAGACTGTGTAGACTGCTGCATTGATTAAAATAGAAGTGTTTCTGTTTAGTCAGACGCGTGTGAAAGGGTTAGGGTTAGGTTAAACTGTGGCTGAAACACTTTCTCTGTAGACACACCATAAAGCAGTTGCATTTTTGTAAGTTTGCAAACAGCCTTATGTTCATCCTTGATTTTTATATTTTTGGTGTTGCGTCTCAGATGCATTGTCATGAAAGCACTGGTTAAGCAAAGCTCGGTAGTTTCCTTCGTTCTTGCACTAACAAAGAGAAAAGCAATAGCCTAGTTTGCTTGTTTCTTTTATATGGAGGGGAGATTTTTGCTTTACTTGACAGTGACAGTACAAAGAGACGGGGAAGAGAAAGGGGATGACATGCAGCGAAGAGTCGGGAACAGACTCAAGCCCAGGCCGCTGAGATAAGGACTCAGCCTTGATACTTGATATGTGATACACGCTCTTCCAGGTGAGCTACTGGGGGTGCCCTGTAACAGTGCAGCCTTGTACTTAAATACTGTGAATGTTTAATATGGACAGATCATTACAGATTAAATATTTCATTTTATGATTTCATAATTGGCCAAACAAAGCTTTCAGCTATCCACATTAACAAGCTGGGTTTTAGCATCTTTCAGTTCATTGTCTTGGTTTTACAGCCTTCAAGTCAACTGTACTGAGTAACTCTCTCCGCTCTCGTCAACCTTATTTTCAGCAGCAGCATACAGGAGTTTTCAGCCAAAACGCTCTGATTAATGTTCTGTATGTTACCTGCCCAACAACAGACACTTGGCATCTAGAACCTAGAGTCAGATATTTCCCACAGGAGATGGTAAATATCAGAAAGGGCTAAAAGGAGAGTAAATATTGTACTTAAATCCATCCGATGGCCAGAGACATGACTTTAAATTAATAAATAATGTTGTTCTGTGTCAGCTGGATGTGTAAATAGGCAACTGTTTGCAATTAAAATCACCCTCAACTTTATACAGTGATAATATGTCAATGTGTTTACAGCTTGTTGCAGTGCCCCCAAGTGGCCTGATGCAGGTGTAAGTGAAAATACCAAACATTTGCTCTCAGCTTTTGTTCCCTGCCAGAACACAGCTGACAGACATTGGTTATTATCTAGATCAAACTGCACTGCAGTGACATATCTAAAACAAAGTAAGAAGCCAGATTTAGAAAATAAATCATATTCGTGGGTCAACAACATATTCTCAAGTAGGAATACAGACTCTTGCATTTTTAGCGTGGACGAATGGCAAACTGTAAACAGAAAATACAGAGTATGATGGAAATTTTGGGCAAAAATTGAAAAAGTATCTTGTGAATGAATTTATCTATTCAATGCCAGAATATTAAAACATATTGAATTACGCAATTAATAAACTGATGGTATCATTAGTATATATGAGGGACAATTTTGATCCCACTTACACCATATACCATACAAAAATGCAATATGTAAATTTTGTGGTTTCTGAAGAACAGTGGAAACAGCGACAAGAACGAAAAACTATGTAGACGGATGAGTGTCTCAGTGAACACCTACCTGCTGCCTGCAGGGATCATGGTCTCCACTGCCACTGCCCTCTGACCACTGCAGGGAAATGCCTGGATGAATTGTAAACCAATATAACCAGTAAGCGCCAAGCTTGTTTTACTTATACTATTTTAAGAGGACTACATATACCATATACCACCCACTCTTTTTAAGGAATCTTTTTCCAGGAAATGTTTTCATATAATTCTCCAGCAGGCCTAGTATTGACTTCTTTAACGATGCAGGGTCCATGATGAAGTGTAGGTGGTCAGCATTAGATCGCTTTTGTGGCTGTCACCACAGCCAATTTTTCCTCTGCAGTCTCTTGCGAACTCATTACAGTTTACTACAGTTTTCCTCTCACCATAACGTTATGGCCACAGCCCAGAAGAAACAGTTCTAATCAAGTAGAATTTATTTTGTCTTATAGAACATTCGGGGATGTGAGTGAGGAGCTAAAATACAATTGAAGTTTTCCAGGACATCATAAATTATTTTTGATCAAATTCCATGTGTTTCCATGACTGTAAAACGAGTCTCTAAATTTCCAGGTTGTTTTACAAGACATGTTTATGTATCAGCTGTTTCAGTGGGATTAGTCAGCAGCAATCAGTCATTTGGCTCTACAAGCAGGTTGTTGAGGGACAAATCTCAAAAGAATCATCCACACTAGCTTTGAGTTTATATCATTAGCATAAAAAAAATATTTTATAGTTATAGTAATAACTTTCAGATGCTTTTATCTTTAAACATGCTGTACCTACCATTTGGTGTTTTTTTTTTGTTTTTTTAAAACCAACCAAAGTAGTCTCAAAATCCCTCGATCAGGTTGGGTGAAGAAGCACTAAAAGAATACAGAAACTCTGAAACTCTGCATTACAATAAAATATTTAACCCTCAAAATTAGGGGGAATAAAATTAAGAACCTCTAGACTTTATTGCACATAGCCCTCATTTTAAGTTCAGAAACTGCAGACTCACAGTTCAAGTTGGCCTGTTTGTCGAGTACTATAAAGGACTGCAACTGGTATTGGTCATCACATAGCACCATCTAGTGTTTGTCTCAAAATTAGTCTGTGTGTGATCACTGCATGCATTGTACCGTATGTGCAGGAGAGAAATCTTGTAACTTGAGAGGAACTCAATTTATGTAGGGGATTATTAGCTCTAATCATTATGTATTCTTTATTTATTTGTATAGTATTTTACAAACAAGTGCCCTAATACAGTTGATGTTAATACATAGGATGAAAAAATATCCTGAGCAGACTTTCATTGTGTATAGCCTGTTAAAGACCCCGCTTACCAAATTAGTAAATTAAATTATCTAAAATACCAGACACCACTGTTTTACCATTTTATGCAGGCTACTGTATTGAGTTGATTTCTTTCATAATAATGTCTGAATTAATTATAGTGATGCTTCAGACATCCTCAACAGAATACTGATCAACTTTTTCATCTTTTGAATCAAGTAAATCTAAAGGGAGTGCAACATAAAGATAACATAGTCTAAGCTGTTAAATTAGAAAATGACCAATTTTGATCAAGTGAAGAAGTGTGGTTAAGTTATAGGCTGTTACCATTCTGCAAAAATACCAATTAATAAGTACAACAAATTAAGCACTATTATCACATTCAAGCATAACAAAATAATATATTATAATATATATTAAACTGACTTTGAAGGCTGAAATCCACGTTTGGACACTTTAAGGTTGCAGAGGCCAGCAGCTGGATACATACATATTAAAATACAGACACTAATAACATCACCTATGTAAAGTATGAGTATCAAGAGCTTTAGCTTACAATGATCCAAGAGGACCCAACAACTTGAACGAAATTTAAGCAATTTAAGGATAAACTAAGTGGGACTTCCAATTAGATACTGTGGAAACTGTTTGCATAAATTACACAATGAACATCATGAGCAGATGCTTTGACACTGTGTTGATACTGATGTGGCTTAGATAACTTCTTGTATTCATCTCCTGCTGCACATAAGCTTTAAAATGCTCCACTGTGTGCCCATAATGCTAACACTTTACCAACATATCATTTAATTTAACTTACCTCTGATATCTGGAAAGGACAACTCTCTGCCTGTCATTAACATTAACATCACTTGCTTGTTGACGCTTCCACAGATAAAATGATGAAGTTAACGTTTTCCGCAGACTACAACCACATTAAGAACAAACAACAAACAACAAATACCTCACCTGAGTTAGCAGGATGACGGTGATGTTAGCTCGTTAGCTAAAGAGTCTCATTGTTAGCTTTGTCTATCTGTTAGTTTGTCGCGATGGTTAACGCTTTATACAGTATTCATAACTCATTTCTATATTCCTCGAAACATTTCAAGCTTACTGAAGCAGCAGTGATTCCACATCAGGGTCCAAACTGTCCAAACAGTGCTTCTTGAAGGGATAAAGTATAAATACTGTGAACATTTATACATATCATGTGTTAATGGACCTTCAGACATGTTGCCATGGTTGTCTGTAGGGTCTTAAAAAGTCTGGTTTCTAAATTTTCGTCCTTAAAATTTCTTAACCCTGTAACACCCCTTGTTGTAAAATGACGTTACCTTTAGCCATCCTAAAAACAATCTGTTTATCTTATTTTTTAGCACATTTACATAGTCATTGGGTCCCTTATGGCCATGAACTCACACAACTTCTCAAGGTTTCCTTCAAACAACATCTCTTTGTTTATAAGTAAAATGTCTTTTACATTTTTTTGGGTTGTTGACAATGTCTAGAGCATGTACATGTGTAGTTATTGTGGAATAGATTCATCAAATTTCATTTAGAACTTGTTATATATTTGTTGCAATTCTACAGCACTGGGTGAGTGTGGTAGTCAAAATAGCAGGTTTTTCTATATTTGGGGCTTACAGGGTTAAATATGTTTTAATCCACATTGATTAGATTAATGAAGTTAAAGTCTCTTGTATAAATAAAATAAAAAATGTGTAAAGTTTCATTTTTGCTGTAACCACTACAAAATAAAACCAGTATGGAATCAATACAGATTTTCCTTCATATTTTTATGCCACTATGGATCTGAAATAAGTAATATTCTTAAAATTCTTACATTTAATCAGTTGAAACCTGCAGAAACCCTGCAGGAAAAAGCACAGGTATATTTAATACCATTTAGGGTGGTCCTGGCTAACTGGAATAATAATTGTACCTGCCCTTATTATTCCAGTTACCAGCATACCAGCAAATTGAACCTGCTCTTTTCCTGCTAGGACAAGTCAAAATGTCTGCTGTGAAAAAAATAATATTCTTTCATATGTCTGTAATCCTTTTCAGTACCACATTACTGTGTCACAGCAACTTGTGCTCAATAAATAAGTTACAGTCAATAAAACATATTTAGTAGTAATGTTTTTCTCACTTTACACAACACACAGCACAGGCTGATATGTATAAGCCTTCATAACTCCACAACCTTGCTTTATTCATTTTTGTGAGTATCAATAGATTTTGCTGAGTCATACAACAAATAATTGGTATAGGCAGTAAGCGCTTAAATCATCTCACATAACCAAAAAAGAAAAAAAATGAAATGTGTTTAAAAAGCAGTGTGGTTATCAGGCTTACAGAGAGTGCCAGGGTCATGATAAACAAGCAGACGTTGTAGTCAATGCACTTGGACAGAATTCACAACACCAGTCTGTGTTCCATTATATTCATTTTCTTCAGTCATATTGACTTGGTTGCTCCTGTGGTGGTAATCAGAACTGCATTACAGGAAGGTCAAAGGATTCATGTGCGCAAATAAATGTTAACTTAGAAGAATCACTTAATGATATGACATTTAAAGGAATGAAACAGGCATCATGAACTACCCGCCTCGACACCAGAAACAATGAAGATCAGTTCTCCCCTGTCTGATTGTCAACATTTCTTTTGTGCTTTATTCGCAGGCGGCTCGTAGCTACAAGTTAAATAATATTTTGACACATGGAAAAATATTTCTCTCTCATCTAATTCTTGTCACAGTGTGTGAGAAGGCAGCAGAACTCAAAGTCTTCACCGCCCCGCCCGAGGAGAAGCCACACGCAGAGCTTCATGACACCTTCTCGTGGCATAAAACCTGATTTATCAGCAACCATCAAGAAATATCCAGATCTCTCGTAGCACCTCCACATTTTGGGCTAAGAAGTGGAACGTTGAGGGAAATGCAACAAACTGCTGCCCAAACTGTAGCTCATTTTTTTTGTGATCTCCACACAAACTGTATTTTCTCATTCCTGAGCAGTGTGTCTGAATACCTTTGCTTCAATGAATGCACTTCTGTTCTTTGCATGATGTCTTTGACGGAAGCCAGACGTGTTTGTTTTTGTTTAGTCATTTTTTTGGTAGTTGGGCTGGATTTATAGCAGTGTGGGTTAAAAATAAATATTTTTTTTTACAGCAGTTCAGGGCTGCCAAAAGATAGAGAGCCAAACAGCATGTCATTCAGTCATGCATTAGCATTTCCCTCCAGTTGAAACTGTGATTGGGTCCATGTGTCAGAGGCAAGATGGGTGGGTCGACCAGCTGCCACACCCCGGTCTCTCCCATTTCTTCACAAGCACAAAACCCCAAGTAAGGAATCTGCTCAAAGAGAAGACAGATGTTGCATGTTATCCAAGAGAAAGAAAATGCGGAGAATATAGATAGAAATGAAAGGAGCGACATAGCTTAAGCAGCGAACTGACCTTTCGGACTACTTGGACAAAGTCCTTGGAGTTTTGGGGGCTGAGGCCTTGTATCTGGCGAGTGCAAGCCTCCAGGGAGGAAGCATGGGCCACAATCAGGACCGTGTTTCCTGTGTGAATGAGGTAGAGAGCAGAGAACCACATTCCACGGATACCATTAGCTTTCTATACTGTTTATGGGCACGCAGTAGTTGCTAATATGCAGCTTGAAATGTTCTTTGACACATCAACTTTTATACAGACATCCAAATGGAACATTTTGACCCATAAGCTAAAATACAAAGTGCTTATAACTTAGCTCAAAAACTACATCTTTTATACGTGTTTAAACCCTGGATATATGTTTTCAATGCCGCTTTACCCATGTTCTTGGAGTCTGCCAGGATCTCTCGGGTGACTTGGAAGCTCCTGCTGATGTAGGTGTCATAAGACTCTGACGCCGCCAACTTACTTATGGGAATATAAGGTCTAGGGACAAAACGATAGATAGAGAAAGTTACAGTACACTGCATCAGCATCACAGGTAAAGGCATATCGATGCTTCAGCTGGTTGGTGTTGCGGTCTACCTGTATGTTGTGTCCACACTCAAGTTAGCAGCGGCCAGCTCAGCTGGGGGGATCCAGTTGGGTAAACATGTGCCTGAAACCCACTTGGTCCATTCAAACAATCCGGGTTCCACGCGGATCTTTGTCTTTCCCTCCTGTTGGAGACCTGACACAGAGTGAAACAGACTGTCAGAGCGGGAGATATGTTTTTGACGGTCACACTGTGAATCTACTTTGTCAGGTAATTTTCTCTTGCTGTTTTTTTACCGAAAATCTATAATACATCTTCCCATGAACTCGAAGCCTAGGTGCAATAAGAGTAATTGTGTTGGTCCCATGTGCCCCAACTCAATAACATGACAGGACTTTGAAGTTTAAAGGTTTTGACAAAGAAGATATTTCTAAAATGGAAAAAACAAGGACAGTAAGCTGAATGTATAAATGGATGAGAAAAAGAGTTAGAGCTCCTGTTAAACCTTTTTCTTTTCTTATCTGTTCTGTCTCCTAATGATGTCTCCAGGTACCTTTTAGAATCAAACAAATCCTGTTGAGATCCAAGCTACACTGAAGGCTTCAAACTGAAAATCCAACATTGTCACGCAGCGTTAACTTTTTGAAATGCATCATAACGTGCCAGCTGAAGAACCTGAATAGATTCTGTGTAACTTGTCTGTGACAGTGATGAGGGTGATGAAGATGAGGTCCTACCCTGCAGAATGTGGTGAGCAGTCTGGACGCAGCGAAGAGAAGGAGAGCAGTAAACAAAGTCTATTGTCGTGTGGCTTTCCAAAAGGGCTTCACCTGAGATGGACCAAAACACAGAGGAATGGTAAACATAATATCTACTGTATTTGATTATCTAAATCCACGTATGTATTGATGTAAACAACATCAACTGTATATAAAACGTACTGACCTACAAGACGGGCCTGGGTGGAGCCAAACACAGTAATTGGACAATCTTTATCATAGTCCCGGTGACCTCCGCTTCTAGCTGGCAGGCTGGATGGCATGTTGAGATTGGAGCGAATATATCGGCCTACAAAAACACAATAAGGAACTTACAGATGATGGAAATACTGAAATCATTAGTGTGTCATTAATCTATTCTAGCATGCTAACCTTTGGAGTCAAAGCACTGTGTGACCCAGTGTTTCCCAAACACCACATCCATCCTCTCCCCATGGCGACACACAAACAGTCTCATCTTAGACAGGGAGGACTGACAAGCCGGCCTCGACACCTGAGATAAAGATTCATTTTAAATCGTGAGACACGTTGCACAACAGATGGTCTCTTCACTTCTGCATACGGCCTCATTATACATCCTCTCTTCGCCATAGGAAGAGTCAAATAAAACAAGAACGCCATACCTGCATAGGAGGACAGAGGCCAGTGAGACTGGGAGGATCCATAAAACTGTCAAGCAGACTGTCATTGAGCTGTCCATCAAACAATAACCCACCAACAGTGGTGCTGGCGTTAGAGGGAGAGGCACAGTTGAGAATAGAGTGAGACCTGAGGATCAGATAAACACATACAACTTTATTCATATAGCACTAGCAACAAAAGAAGATGTACACGCAATCAACATACAGTGTACAGCATACAACATATGACCTTAGAGGAACATAGGAAGCTACTGAGAAAGCCGTATGACAGTAAAACATAACCTGTTCAAGGAGTGTAGTAATGTGGGGTTGAAGTTAGTCAAGAAGTAAACTAAGAAGATTATTTATTTTATTTTTAGTTTATTTATTTTATTGTATTTCTCTTTAATCCCTGCAGTCAGTCAAGAAACGTCGCCTTATTTGTGTGTATTTGTGCTTAAGCTGTAAAAAATAAAAAATAAAATAAAGCACACTGAGGGGATTTGTGGATTGCCAGTTTGAGATAACACCCACTGATGTATTTGTGAAGTGATTGCAAAAAAGGACTTTAAAGGGCAATCGGTGAAAATCTGCTACTGCTGACTGTGCTGTTATTGCATTGTATGTGCGCGTTGTTCTGGCCTCACAGCCCGGCTCCTTATGTTACATGGAATTTCTTTAATACAAAAAACACATGATGCTGGACTTCATCCTTTGTGGAATATCGTGGTTTTTCTTCCTTACCCATGGACCACCCAGGTATCAGACTCATCACCACGGCTGACATAGTTCTCAGGCAGCAGGCCCGACAGCCCCGTGCCCAGAGAGGTGCCGTACACCCAGCCCTCACTGGCACTGGTCTGCTCCACTGGAGACATGAAGATAAAGTCTCCCGGCACCAGCTCCAGCTCATCGTCATTCTGAGGCACATACGGGTACATGACTTGCAGTGTCTACAGGGGGCAGATGGTTAGCAGCTATTAGACAAAGGTACTGAGGAGTAAACACCTTACATTTATTATGATTTTAGCAACAATTCTTTCATTAAATGTCAAAAATCTACCTCGTGATTGGCAAACCGAATATCCCGGGAGAAGAGCACAGCCAGCCAGTCACAGCCTGAAGCCACGTCCACGCTTTTGGCCAACTTCTCCAAAATTGGAAGGTGACTGACTTGAAAGTGGTATGCCAACGTGACATGAAGTTGTTTCTTATGGGGCTCGACATGAACATCTGGGCAGAGGGAAAAGAGAGAAATGTGCACACCAGATGTTTATATACACGTATACTCATGACAATGATGTAGTGTTCAGTTTACATTCTTTTAACTATAGCGGTTCTCCACTGACAGAAACATTTAAATACGCAAAAAAAATGCATCACCTGGTGACACTGCTCTGCGATTTACTGATTACAGTTTCTTCACATCATTCTTGATCTGTCTGATCTCTGTCTACATGACCTACAAGACAGCGTTCATGTATCCTGTGGCTTCCATCAAAGAGACAAAGGGAGCTCAAACCTGCTTTAGCTTCTGCTTCAGTGGCAAAATCGGCAGCGAAACCCTTCAGCACCTCCGCCACCTGCTCCTCCACAAAGAGGCCAATGAAAGTTGAGGAGGTATAGAGCTCCAATGGGAGGGGCATGGGTATACGAGCCTTCCACTTGGCCACGGTGGCCTGGAGAGCGTCGGACAGAGCCTCCACCTTCCCGTCGGCACACTGACAGCAGAGACAACAAAACAGGAAATGGAGTTAATGTTTTGTTCATATGTGCCAGTATTGTGATATAAATGGCAGTGACATGCATTCAAAGAAATAAGCTGACTCCCTCTACACGAGCACTGACACTGACCATGAAGAACTGGCAGAGGGTGATGTGGGGGAAGATGTTGTGGGCCTTATTCTTCCCACAGGAGAGGCGGGACTGCTGCCAGAAGTGCGAGAGCTGCTGGAGCAGTGGCCCACTGGGTCGCAGATATAACACGTACTCTCTGGGCAGAGGGTCATCCAAGAAGGGGTCATCCACGTGGGAAAAGAGCCTGGGGGTGACAGACAAAGAAAACCAGAGGTGGGGAGTGAAAATTGGGAGAGAGGGCGAGCAATGTCCAGCAGAGGGCAGCACTGTCGTAAAAGCACAGTGACACGTCAATGTAACGTAAAGTCAGTGGATCTTGTGTTTACTATTACAAGGAACATTGCAGTTTAATAACAATGGGTGAGCATGTGAATAAAAGTATGCGTCCGCTCTCACCAGTCACAAGCTGCCTGGACATTTTTCCCTCCTGTCGAAACCAGAGCTTTCAAGCTGCAAAGAAAAAGAGAAAGGGAGATCAAAGCACAGTCACAAAATCAATAGTTTCTCTTCCGGGCCGTGTTTATTAGGAGGAGATGGCTGCGCTTCCACATGACAATGAACAAAGACCAAACATCCCCAGAGAGCAGTAAAATAACAACAAGCTCACAATAATTCATAACAGGAGTTCATTATTCATACCAGAGGTTCATGAGGCTGAGCACTGATGCAGATTTCAGAACAGCCGTATTCTCTGCTATGAAGTATTAAAAAATCTGGTTCTATCATCAATAAAGTACCACTCAGTAGATGCAAATCCACATATTCAGCGCAGACTGGGTTTCACATGAAACTGAATCTGAACATGATTCTGATTCAGTCAATGGTTATATAACGACCCCTGTGTTATAGGGGAGAGGGTCTTTGGCTGCTCACAGTCTTGGTTAACAATTTAGTTCTACAGCAGCCAAATGTCACAATATTAAGACCCCCTGTATAGGACAGTGGCGTTGAGAAAAGTATAATTAATTCCTTGTGTTTTAGTGTAATGGACATTAAAAAGGGAAAAAAAGGCTGCGTTCACGTCCTACGACATGATTTATCTGTGTCATTTCATAAACCATAACTTTTTTTTCTGAAACAAGAGAGAGCTGATTGCATGATTACTCTTGAGTACTCAAAATCTAATTAGTGTCTTTTTATAAAGCCTCTGGTATTGCGGGCCGCCTCTGAAGGGATTCGCTGATCCGAGATTCATCAGCTCTGAGAGGACTGACACAGAGCCTCTGGATGTGACTCTAATTCTGACGGTTCACAGTAACAACACAGCCTCTGCTCCTCTTTCAGTCAATCAACACATCAGTAACATACTTTATTTTTATTAACTGGACTCTTAGAGCCTTGTCTGCAAAGATTTGGCACACATTAGCACAAGCGTTCCACTTAATATTCCTAAATTAGTGAGATGAGAGTTACTGAAAGTATATGTAACTGAGGTCCAAACAGTGAGTTGTCTGTGAATTCATTTTAAAGCTTCTCTCGGCTCTAACAAAGCTCCGTACAACACTTGCCAAAGACTCATCTTTTGATTGCTTATGTTTGTTTATCTGCTTTTGTGATATGAATGGAATCCCTGATATATCCCTGAAATAACTAGAGTAAGCAATGTCTGGGTACACGGCTCCTTTCATTATTAAGCAACAGGAAAATGCGTTTTGAGTGACCGTACATCGTCTCCACGGCATCTCACCTTTAACACTCAACGACAAGCCACACGGTCCCATCTCTTTTCACTTGCTCTTTGTGCATTGTGTGAAAATAAAAAGCACAGCCCCATGTCAGTGAGAATTAATCAGCCATTCACTACATTAGATAAACAAAAACAAAACCTCCATAATCTTATCTTATAATGATGCCATGTCCCTAAAGGTGGCACGGCTTGTCACCGCTCTGAATGGCCATTCTAATGAGCATAAAATAACAAACTGTAACTGATATGAAAGCAGGAAGTGTTGTTTTCTGCACCATCGCATAGCCACTGATATAGATACAGACATGTCGCCGCGCCTCTGTGTGGGACGACGTTGACAGCGTGCGTTGTGCCACTCTAGCGTTCAAATTCAATGAGCTATTTTTACATTTGTCCCACTGAGAGGGTCCTACATACGGCAAAGTCCCTGAACCCTGGGGGCAGCCTGCCCTGACAGAGCACAGCAAGCAGGATGGGAACGCCAAGGCTACAGCATCGTAACAGATGGCTCGCGCAGACCCACTACGACACAGACACACACACACACATAGAGAAATATATGCAGGGTGAACTTGAATTAAATACAAGCTACAAAGACAGGGGAGATTCTGTTCATTCACCTGAACAGGTCTAACTGCTGTTATATGACAGTTGTATGACATTTTACCTAATTGATCCACTTTAACAGTAAGAACCACATCTGCACGTAGAGAGGGCTTAAGACAGAGAGTCATTTGCTGGCTACAGTCGACTTATTCAGAGATTGCACCTGGTGCTGTGTGGAGGAGGAAAAGAAGGGGATTTTCTCTCAGAAGGCATGATGGGATTACAAGCAGATGTGACTGAGACGCCACAAAATCCAATCCGGGCTAGAACATTGAATTGCTTGCTTCTTATCTCTGTGGTATTTTATAAGAGTGAACCTGTGTGACATGAAATAATAGAAAAAGGTCTTACAGAGAGGATATAAGGTTTGCTTGAATTTAATCAGCTTTTTTTAGGCTGCTTAAATGACTATAAACCCTGTTCCAGGTATAAATTATAATAACAGTAATGTCTAAAACAAAATATCCCTTAGTCTCCTTTCAAAATGTAATGCAGAAGGCTTTAAAAAGGTCCAGTGTGTAGGATTTAGTAGATCATGCTTCACCCTACCCTTCCAAGTGTACAGTGGGTGTGGCTTGTCAAAACCTGCATTGTACTGTCTCTGACAACAAAGTTGTCACAAAATAAAATTAAAAGATGATAGTTGCTCCTGATCCTTCAGTGTCTTCCAATTAGAGTCTAATCCAATATTGGTTATCTTCCCTAACAGAGCTGCACAAAGCCTTATTACAGTTGTGCCTGTTTGAAGGATTCATGAAAAATAGATTCAAATTTGTTTCAAATGTGCGACGACAGAATAGCTCTGCTTTGAGAAAAATATAACCTACACTACCTTTGATCGGTTCCTGTATTATTTTTAGTACCCTAATCAATCCTTCCATTCATTATCTACAGCAGCTTATCCTCTGCAGGGTCGCGGAGGGCTGGAGCCATTCCCAGCTGACGCCATACAGTATAATATCTTATGGAAAGTCAGTGTCACCTTTCTCAGAGAGGAGGGCTGGAAGTCAGACACTCTCTCTTCAACTACAACAAAATACTAAAAGCCAGGTGCAGACAACAAATAAAAGTAGAACTTTAACACTGGCTCATAATCTGTCCATTAGGAGTTAAAAGTACCTGCCATCTCATGTGCCACTGAAGACGTGCACTGATCAGACAGGTCAGACTCGAGATGAAACAGCGAGATGGAGTGCAGTGCCAACCTGGCACCAGTGCACTCTGGGCTCCCACAGACCGTCTGCCCACCGCAACTCATTGCACTCTGCATCCTCTCGCATAAAACAGATTATTCTGGTTCAGCCAATTTCCTTTTTTACGTCTGCCTCTCACGTTGATTGATTGCTTTGTTTTAATCCATAGAGATGATCATGACAATAATCTCTGGGCAAATTATGCACACGCACCTGCATTGTAGAAAACGTATAAAGTTTTGTAACTGTTAAAATAATTTGTTGCAATAAAACAGAATTACTAGTGGTCATTTAAGATGTATCTCTAGCAAATCAATCATATTTGGCTAGTTTGATTCTTTTTTTTCTGGATTTGTTGAATTCACCATTATTTTTCTGTATATGTTCTCGGTGTAGAAAAAAACTAAGGCCATGTTCTGCTGTGTCTGTTTGAACCACTGACAGTATACGTCTAAATTTTTGTATACAATTTTAAAAAAACCAAAAGCATATCATTCTTAACCAACAGACTGCAGTCGAGACAGCAGGAAGACATCTGGCCTGGCTCAGACTGAAGTGACAAACCAGAAGGAAGTCGTAGTAAGAAGTTTGCACTTTCACAAAGTGCCATGTGCACTGTCTTGCACGCACAAAGTCGATACCCAACCCGTGGCTTAATCATTTAATATTATCCAAACCATTTGTGATATTGTATGTGTTTCAGTCTGCACAATCTGAAACCTCGACTTATTTCATCCACACTTTCACTGTGTGACACTTTCACTTCCAGGGTCGCTGTTACTGACACTGAAGGCAACGCTGCAACTAAAGATTATCTTCATTGTCGATTCATCTTTTAAATATTTTCTCAGTTAATCAATTCATAGTTTGGTGGTTAAATGTCAGAAAAAAAAGAAAAAAAAACCTGTTACACCACTTTCCCAAAGCTCAAGTTGAGATATTTAAAATGACTTGTTTTATCCAACCAACAATCCAAACCAAAGAAATTTAACATACTATAATAGACGACCAAGAAAAGCAGCAAATATTCACATTTTAGAAGCTGGAATCAGAGAATTTACATCAATCAATCGATTATCAGCTGTTTTCTGTCGGCCAATTGCTTGACTTATCATTTCAGCTCCACTGATTTATCAACAAGCTTACTATTATAATGTTAGCTAGCTATTGGTTCAGTTTACATACACACATTACAGTCGTTTATCCTCAGATTACTTGCATTCTCCAATGCCTTTTTTTGGTAGATTGACTTCACTTTGTAAAGACTGTCTGGAACGTCTCCACCATCACCACAATTACTACACAAACTGTTTATTCTGCAAATAACAGCAATTTAGTGGTGATTCTAATACCGTAGCTGATAAAGACTGAGTGCCCCTGCTGGTCTTTATACTGCATGAGTGACCATGGGTGTGTACCTGCCAGTCTTTCACACTGAATGTAAAGAATAATGTGTTTGGATGATACAGTGACAGTCCTGCTTTGTTTCTCCACTTCTCCGGGCAAAAGAAAGTAAAAAAATACCTACATCTGCACCACCCTCACAGAGCAGAGAGGTGCGACAGGTAGCAGAGCTGGGCAGTGTTGGCGGAGCTGACTTCCAAATTTTCCTCTTTCCTATTGGCCAGCTGATCGATGTTTCGACAAGGAAGACAGCACCTCCCGCACCACAGCCCTGTGTATAGCATCTGCTACTTGACCGAATTTGTTTTCTGTCTGCTCCACGATAGTCAAACCAGTTGCCTGCAAACTGTCCTGAATAACTGCATCTAACCCGGAGGCCTCTCCTTTGCTCTTAGGAAGAACTGAGCAAGTTATTTATAAACTGCATTTCCTGTTCACAGCTAGAGGAAGATAAAAAAGATTAGAGAGTGTGAGGCAGAGAACTCGCTCTGGATGTGGCAACAAAACCAGCAGTATTGTTTGCATAAATGACAGTGACCATTATCAGATGAGGGCTTCAT